CTGTTGTTTTCCTTCTCGGCCCTTACTGCCAAGCCGCATGCACAAATTGCATTCCACCACTGATCTTCCATGCAGAACGAAGCGGAAGAACGACAATGCAAGATGAGATCAGGACTCCACCGACATCGTCGGCTTGCCAGTGAACGGTGTCCACATACACGGGCTGAGATCCCAGCAGATGACGGATCTGACTGCTTGGGATTTGCCTGCTTGAGTGGTTGGTGGTTGAGGAGCTCTCCCTGGCCAACCAATCGAGGTAGACATCAACCCCCCCCCCCCCCCCCCAAATCCCACAAAACTCCCCGTAGGCACAGATCGAGCCGTCTTGGTCACGCACTGGCATTCAGGCTCTTCCTGGAGGGCGCCAGTTGGGAGGAAGGCAAGGGCGACGATGAGGTTGGACTCGGCCTCCGCCTTCACTGGAAGAGTCGTGGCACAGTCTGTCACGTGCAGGGCTATATCTCTGACAGCAAGATGAAAGAGCTTCATCCAGAGATGTGCGCCTCCTGGAGTTCCGGACAGCCGATATTGATATGTTCTGAGCTGTTGCACCGCGTCACCAAGCTACGAGCCGAGTGGTGTTTGACTTGTGTTGTTTTCACGGTTTGTGATGTCTCTGTCCTGCAACACCATGCAATGGCATTGGAGTCAGCTCTCGCGCCGAGGCCAGTGATCAACATCTTCTCAGTTCACATCAAAGAAATGAGCTGGGAGAACATGTGCCCTTCCTTGGGAGGGCATGCCTGTGCCACTCTCGCACGTTTCAGTGGCAAGCAGTCCCATGGCCCATGGCTCTCAACCGCGTTCCTGCAAGAAGAGCCATTTGCATATGTCACCGCGACCATGGCTTTAGGATTTCGTCGTATGGTTTTTCTTGTGCATGCCTTTCGCGTTGACAATACTTGGGCGCAACAGATCTTTTGAGCATTGCAGCAAGCGCAAGACAAAAAGACAGCCTCCGGCCGAGACGGGCCCGCTCTGGCGGCATTCGCACGAACTTTTGCAGTAACTCCGGCAGTCTGCTTTGGCACGCCATGCTCGCAACACACGGCCTGCTGGTGAAACCGGAGCCCCCTTGGGCGGGTCTGGCAGTGCTGTGCCCACGACCTTGGCTGCCAAAGGCTGGGCCTTGCTGCATGTTTCGGCCGCCGCCTTTTTTCGCGTAGGAGGGATCTGTCCTGCAGGACCTGCAAGTCTTTGACACCTGCGGCAAGGAGGCTGTCGGCTCTTTTGCACACCCATTGAGTGCACGGACTTCGCAGATAGCAGCGGGGTCGTTGGAAGGGCATAGACTTTGAAGTACTCTTGTGACCATAGTTAATCCAGCAGTCGTGGTAAGTGTCACCAACGAAACGGCTACGTGATCGTACCTGCAGCGGCAGGGACAAGCAACCTCTGAAATTTTGTCAAGGCACACGATGTTGAAACAGGACTACTGCATCTGCTTTCTGCGGAGCCGAGTTGACGAACATCGTAAAAGGGCACGGGACCCTGGCCTTGGGTGGAACGCTGGAACCGTGCCTGCTGTTGCCGTACTGGTCTACATGGCTGCGAGAGAGAGCAGCTGAGGCGATGTTCCCTGGAGGATCCTTGTCCTCAGCAGATCGCTACCTCGCCAAGAACAACCTCGCAGATGCAAGCAAAAGCGAGGAGGCAGCGGCCCTAGAAAAGAAGTGCAAGGCAGCAGCGGTCCCTGACAGTCCCTAGAGTCCCGTAGAAAAAGCAAGTGACTGGAGGTCTTCCTGGGGCTGAGGCTCGCTGCCATCCGCAGGACGCACCTCGGTTTTGGATGATTCGCAGGTGCGAAAAAACTGGCAGGTCCTCTTTTTGTGCGACATTTTTTCTGGTGGGGTCTTCCTGTTTGGACGCTCTTCCAGGTTTGAAGCTGCTGGCATCATGGTGGCAGCGAATCCACCTCCAAGCTTTGCGCGGCAAGAGCTGCAAAAGATACTGCTTCGAGAGGGCCCGATGGCGTTCCATGCGTTTCTGGACGACTGGGGTATCCGGCTGCGACTCTCGGACTCAGTCTGAGGCTAAACTATTGTGGATAACATGGCACGTGACGAACAGTCTCAGGACCAGAAGATCTCTTCGAGCTCTCATGGTTTCTGATGCCAGGGCCACACGGTGAAGAGCACATTTTCCTGGTGCAAATTCCCGATGCAGATGAGGCGATTTGCCTGCACAGCTGTGTCTGAATCTGTCTCTCGCAGGGTGCCCTAAACCCTAAACCCTAAAACCCGTGTATTGTTGATATCCAACATCTGTGCACGAGCCGCCGTCTGCCACTAGTCACTGGAAACACTGGTATCGTCGTCCATCCCTGAGGCATGTTGGGCAAACAGTGCTGGATCTGAAGCATGGGACCTGGCGTGGGCAACACCATCAGACTTCCTCGAGATGCACAGGCGCGAGAGTCTGAGTCCACGCAAGCTCTAGTGCTGTAGTGCGACGCCTGCTTCCAGGCAGCAGGAGCTGGAGCTGACTCTTGCGCAGTGGCACCAAGGCTGCTTTTCAGGTGTTTGACGGGAGGAGCGGCTCAGGAAGAATTTCAACTGCAAGGTACGTGATCCATGAGCTTGCCAGCAGCCTGCCGCGGATCTGTGCCTTGCCCGACCTGGCCAAGTCGCGGAGCTCTCAGAGCCCGCTCTGGTGGGCCCGGGCCTTGCCACTCAGCCCGGCAAGCCCGGGCGGCCACAGCCCGGTTTTTGGCGAAGAGGAGCGAGTCAGAGGATCTTCTCTTCAGCTCGTTGCAGGGACTCTTTTCAGACTGCAAGCCAGCAGAATCAGAATGCCATCGATAAGCTGTGGTTGTAATATGCTGCATCACATTGAATTTCAGTCTCTCAACACCTACAACTTTTGGTATTTTTGGTGAAGTGGCTGCAGGAATCATGTTTTCTGCTGCCTGGTGATGAACACCATGAAGGCTGTCCCGGCAGGAATGGTACCTTCGTCGCAAGTTGCCCCGCATTGTCCTGTATTGTCCAATGGGGCGGTTGTCGTCGCTGACTCCCAACCGCTGAGGTGAGCGACATCGTTTCTGGATGAAGGCAGCAGGACCGGAACTTAGGGTACAGCGACTTGAGTGCAACGTGCCGGAGACTCTTTCAAGTCGTCTTTAAACCACGCTTGGACCAGTGAAAGCGGACTTCATTGGAGCCAAGCGCCCTCTTCCTGCAGAGAGTTGTCAACCACGTGATTTGCGAGTTGCAAGTCCTGAACATTCCTGAACTGTTTAATCGCCTTTTTGTCGTGCGCACATACATTGCGGAGCAACGATTTTCCAGCTCTGCCTGTCATGTCAGGTGCAACTGTTAATGTGATTTGCTTGGGAACTGTTCCTGCCATATTCACTGGTCTCTGCAACCCCAAAACACTGCCAAGAATGCAAGCTTTCAGGGATGGTTCCCTCGAGCAGCAAGGACTAACTCTTTGCAGCCACGTGCAGCAGCGAGTGTGTGTGTGTGTGTGTACAGTGCAGCCCAATTCCACATCTGTCATTGAGCATCTATGCTGTGTTGCACGGTCGGCTGATTGTTGCATGACTGAGCCTGCTCTGCTGGCACTCCTCAAACTCTTCGTCGGCAGATGCGGCTGGAAGTGACAAAACGAGTTGGGTCAGTTTCCTCATGCGCATGCTGCACGTCGACTACTTCGGCTTTAAAAGTAGCTCCTTGAGCAAGGTACCACTGCCCGGTCTTCATCACCCCCGAGCGCGGAGCAACATACGTAACGCAGGCGCAATTTACACGTATCGACGAAAGCAAGCACTGCGCTGACCAGGTTAATGTGCGAATGGATCCTGATGATGACGAAAAGCGCTGGATTCTTGCCGGGGCCGCACTCGCCAGCATCTCAGGTGACGACTTCACGATCCCGAAAGAGTAGTAGTAGTAGCAGCAGTAGTAGTAGTATTGCATTGCATTG